AGGGAAAGTCAGCTGTTACCGACAATTCATCCGTTGTGTCACACAACCGCAGCAGATAGTGGTCACATAATCCCTCAAACTGGTAGAAGTCATTGCTATTGAACGGGGAGATTATCAGTGTCTCTGTCACCACACAGACTCTTCCATCTGCAAATACGGAGGAGAAAGCATATCAAACCTGCGTAATAAAGGACCTGAGCAATGTATTACAAATATGACGTTTCAGTACTTATTCAGGCACCATCATCAGGGTGAACAGAAGAGATGATAATGCAAAATGTCTCCTTTTTATCCTCAATAGGTATTTATCAAGTTTTTGTCAGACTAGTGAAGAGATTGCGTAATTGGTGAATCCCTGACCTGCAACATCGTTGTCAAGTATAGTCACAGAGACTGGAGGGAGTGATAAGTTTGTCTGGTTGACTGAGAGGTTGAGTATGATCTCCTCCGGAAGCTCATTTGGAACGTCATCATCAACAATCTCTATTGTTACGCATGACTCTCTCTCAGTCGGCGAGAAGGATATGGTGGTGTTGACTGTTACAAAGTCTGAACCAGCTACAAAGGAAGTATTATTGCAGGCTTAACTTTAAGATAATTTATGAGTAAAACATCGATTTTATGTTATACCTGTTGCTATATTTCCACCAGGAGGTATCTCACTAAGGAATACATCGATTGTGAGTGTTTCTGCCGTGTCCATGTTCTTAACGAGACATATCTCAACATTACAGTCATCTTCTGATACTGTGAATCCATTCCTCGCAAGTTCCACTACCAAATCTAAAAATTGTGAAGTGGTAAGCCTTAATAAAACACAGGCAGTTGGTAAAGGTACATATGAATGTTAATGGGTGAATCACAAAATGTTTTAAGGCAGAGCGGCAGGCAGAAAAGATTACAAAAGAGTGTAAACTATGCACAGACAGACAGAGTAGACAGAAGGTAAGTGGCATACCGTCATTATCTTGAATTATGACAGTAGTTTGGCCCATTTCTCCAATCATAATCTGACCCCCCACTGCAGTCAGGAACAGCAGGAACCTCTCCTCCTCCTCCAGAGCCACCCTATCGTCCACTACCTCAATTGTAGTGCATGTGACTGAGTCTCCAGGTGGTTGGAAATTGACAAAGTTCAATAAGCCAGGAATGTAGTCCAGACCAGCTGAAAACAAAGTTAAAAGTTAAGGAGCTCACAACAGGTTTAAATATTGTACATGGTGGTCATAATAAACATGGCAGTTTTGCCTGAAACCATAGAGTAGTCACTAAAATTCAGTAGGATTAGGCCAATCAACTGCTATAATTATATATATACCTTCAGCTGTATCAGGTAGAGCAATAAGTCGGACAATTGCCTCATCAGCCACTTGTCCATCAATCCTGATACAGACTTTGACCTCACCGTCTCCCTCTGCCACACTGTACTCTGACCCCACAAACTCCACCACTGCACCTACACGTAACATAGATGTAAGAGCTTTCCTTTACTGCAAGCGTCACCATCTGCTTTATAAATACAAGTCTAGAAATGCCTCTCTATAGACTGAAGAAGGTCTACAGACCAAAACTGTAAATACAGTTTGGCTACTGAATGCTGAATTAAGTAAAGAATGTGGTAGCTATCCCAACGTATGTAGCTATACTATTATCAGCTTTATTTTTTTAGTTCTGTCATGAGTTCAAAATCGTATTATAAGACTTACTGTCATCGTCTTCGATGGAAATAGTTGCCAATCCATCTCCATGAATAACGACCATATCAGCATCTTCAGGAGCCACTAGAGTCACAGTGAACATCTCCACTCCCTCTGCCACAGTGTCCTGCAGTATTGGTACCAGTACCTCCTTCACCACATCCAGTGTCTCAAACACCACTTCTTCCATCACATTTGTATAGTCCCGTGAAGCTGTAAAAGCAATGGCAATCAGCCTCATAGCACTAATTATTGTACACATGTGAGCTAGCAGCTTACACATTGCTGATCCATCTTCCGTCGATACTTGCAGAGTTACTCTCCTAGCGGCTTGTGTTCTCTTCACAATTGTGATTGTAACCACGGCTTCTGCCTCACTAACTGTGTAAGACACTGGCAGAAATCCTACCACCACTGTTTTATGAAAGAAAATCAAAAGCAAGTTCAAGAATGCATATAACAAGTAGATATAGTGGATAGAATAATGTACTGGCTTCATATTAGAGGTAATTACACTTATACTAATGCTCCACATCGTATACACACACTTGGCAACTCTGATCTAATGTTAAAATCTTATGAGCCAAAATTTGAGCAACATGCAACATTATAATGTGCACGTGCATGATGATTTGCTGTGTTGTTAGGCAGGAAATGTTGGACCACCCAACCTAGTCACGCAAAAACATCATTTGTGCAGTATTACTTGGCTCATTGTGTAACAACAGCCTGATTGTGCCAACTGATACACCCATAATTACGATAGCACTCATTAGGCTATTCCCATATTGAAACGCATGTACTCTTTATCATCATAGTTACTTCTACCTTCATCATCATCAACGATTGTGATAGTCATTATGGGGAGAGGAAAGAACAGATTCTTTCTGGCCACACCCACTATCTCAAAACTCTCACGGCTCGGCTCTGGAATGTCGTCGTTGATGATCTCAATGGTGAAGGACATCGTATCTTGCTGTATGACCCCTCCAGTGTATGATACAAGCACTGGACTGAATTCCACATAGTCAGTAGAGTCTGAAAAAACAATGTTAGAACTTTCGGGGAAAAGCATTGTTTGTGTGTTAGGTAGTGAAGTGTGGAAAGATTTTAGATCCAATATGTGTTGAAGGGACCTATGTTTTGTTTTGTATCTACGGAAGGTATTGTCCAATTTCACCCCTGGGGACCTGCGGGGTGTCGCTGGGGTATTGGGAGCTAAGTCTGGTGGTCTGAATGGCAAGGACGACACCTGAAAATCTTCATATATGTGTGCAGGGTTCTGTTCCTCCCTCCCAAGTGTTCTGAGTGCATGTTATTGCTGCAGCATTATTGATCACCTGCTTCCTCGGGAGAGGTAGGTCTAGCATTCAAGACGCCCACTGAATCAACTGTTAGGTCACCGTAGCGAGACACGTTGATCATTATTGCTCCAACATCCTCTGGAATCTCAATGTCTTCCATCATGACCCTAGTGGCTAAAATTAAAAAGAGTGAGATAGGATTTGAACTTACAGTCCTACTATATAATATGCCCCTACCAGCAATTGGTGTGAGTTCATAGCCCTGGGCTATGGCGTACGAGTTATGCTCCTGAAAGGCATAGTAAAACACACCAAGTCCAACTTCTGGGTCCTCATGGTACACTCTGATGTCCCCACTTGGAACCTCAACCTGAGCTCCATAGCCACATACAACATCAATGTCCGAGCAGTAGATTGGAATCCAACCGTCAATAGGTTCAACGGTCTCATTGTTGAGCTTCACCTTCCCTTGGTCTTGGGCTGAGTTGTTAAAAAACCGAGCAGCTATGGAGAGGCTTATATACCTGAAGGGAAAGGGTCCAGGCAATTCTATCGGTGATGTCGTGGTATAGTTGTTGAGATATTGTGTCACAGGAGGGACAATAGACATAAAAGGGTCTCCAAAGTTAGTGTTATCCTTGGCATCAAGGGTGTCAGAAGTAGTGCTGTACTGGGCAACAAGGACTGGGTTGGTGGCACTGAGGCAGCAGTAGCTTGGCATGTTATTGATAATACCAAGAGTCATGAAGGCAATAAAGTCACCCCTGTTTATAACGCCATCACTCTCCAGCGGAATACTTTGCGGTTCTTCATATGGAGAAGTGGCACAGGTCACACTAACTCTCGTTCCGTTTATCAGAGTTCCAACACGAAAGTAATCGCCTGACACACTGCCTGCAGTGGGCACCAAGAAAAACCTGGTCCCAAAGGTGAGCCCGGGTGGCATCTGCTCCACCATGTGGCCACAGCCAGTGGCAGTCAGATGAATCTGCCCACACTCGTGACCACTCAACAATACTACGGGGTTGTTTGAACGAACAATGGTCCCTGAGAGGTCATTACGATGGGTGATTAGAAGGGTCTGACCCTCATCGGCAGTGAAAGTAGTGAGTTCTGTCAGGTCTCTGGGACCAGCCTGAATAGCAGAGGGAGGGTTTCGGAGTGAATGCAGTCGAGTGAAGGTAACAAGCCGAGATGGCTCTACAGTGATGACTGTGTTGTTGTAGCAGGGAATAACTAGAGCTAAACTGCTCTTAGGTGAGACGTCTGCACTGGGGTTCTTGTCTGCTGCCAAGACAAGGTATTCATATTGAGTAAAGCCCCCATTCGTCATGGAGTCACAGGGAAATGCGATGAAACCATCATTGCCATTGACGCCTTGAACAGTGATTTTCTTTCCTCCGTGTGTTTGAACTCGAATTGCATTTGACTGCTGCACAATCGAATTTGTTTCTTCTGTGCTAGTCTCAACTGCAATGTCCTGGTGAAATCTCACTGTGAAGACCTCTCCATATGACACAGATGCAGTGAGAGGAAAACCGTTCCTCATCTCGTCAGGCAGGTTTTCATCCACAGACACAGTAAATGTTACCAGCCCGCGGTCATCTGTGCTGATCAGGAGCTCAGGATAAATATTCTCGGATTGATTTTCATTCCCAGAATTAGAGAGAAATGCAACATAGAAATCAGAGCCCTTACTACTTGAACTGTTAGAATCTGCATGCAAAAATAGAAGCGGCATCAGTTACCACACAATAACAAAAGTTGAAAAACGAACTCACCAACAGAAAGGAACGGGTCATTGTTGAAAGCAAGTAAACCATCAGCAGTGATCGCTACGATCACTAATGCAAACGGCAACAGATCAGAAGCCATTGTAAAGCGATACTACGCTGCAGCGAAACGTCCAGAGGTTTTGCTCCGTCCTCCCCCAGTGCGCATGCGCAAAAAGCGGGTGGGCGGGGTCCCGGGGGTGTGTATGAATACACACATTGCGGGGGCCAGGATCGGGCGTTGCTTGCATCTGCTCTCACTGTATACTACACCACCGGACAAGCACTAGACTAGGGGGGAGTAACTGTGGAGTAATGTCTGCACACGGCGGGGCTTCATTGATGGAGCGCTTGACGTCCCTGTCCTCGGAGCCGCCAGAGTGCCCCATCTGCAGCGAGCGCTACGATCCTGACCAGGAGGATCTCGTCCCCAGAAACCTCTCCTGCGGACACTCCATGTGCTCGCGTAAGTCTTCCCAAACTGAGGGGAGTATGTTTACTACTTCTTGAGTGTTTACAACCCAAACCTCGGTTTTCCAGCTATTTATACTAAGTTGTAATAACAAGTTGATATGTGCGCCTCAGGGTGCATCGGGAGGTACATGTCGACCAGTGGGAAAACTGTGGACCAAGACATTGTCATGATGTGCCCTAACAAGTGCTCCAGGCTCACCACAATCCCCGGTGGAAACATCCAGAACCTCCCCAAGAACTTCCCTGTCATGGAGATGGTCCACACCCGCCAGTTTGAGCGCTCAAAATCCCAGGCCACTATACAGTCGTCCTGTATTGGAGAGTACTACTGTGACGTTTGTGAGGTGTCCAAGGCGGAGGTGGCCTGCCCGAGCTGCGCTGTGTCCCTCTGCTTCACCTGTTCCTCAGAGATCCACCAGAAGAAGGGGTACCAGGTCCACAAACTCGTGGCAATGTCAGATGTCCTGGATGGAAATCTAGACATCCAATTCACGGATGGGATGCTGACCCAGCGTTCGTTCTCGGACCCCGAAGTCCTTCACGCGGCAGCGGCCCAGCCCAAGATGTGTAGGGTCCACTCGTCAGAGCTGGTAGAGTATCTCTGTGTCAGCTGCTCTGCTGAGGTCTGCAAAAAGTGCCACCTGGTGGACGGTCACCGCGGACACGAGTGTCGCCTACTCAAGGATGTGGCACATGAGAAGAGAGAATCTCTACGTGGGCTACTAGCTGCAGCACAGGAGAAACACGCCGTCTGGAACAAGGGTTTCGACCGGTGTCAGGAGCTGAGAGAGGCGTCCAATGTCCGTCGAACGGAGCTGGAGCGGATGATCAGGACGCACTTCGAGGAGGTCCGGGCGGCGTTGGTGTCTAGGGAGGAGAGGATACTGGGAGAGCTCCGTGAGGAGATGCAGAGACGAGACCAGCTGCTGTCTGCACAGGCCGAGTCAGTTGAATTTCATCACACACCACACACACACACACACACATATAATAGGTACTTAAAATGTGCTGTTTTTATTAGCTCAGTGGGGTGTGTCTGATGTCTTTGAATTCACTATTAGTACACCCATTTGATGAATGGGACCTGTACGACAAATTTCTTCGGTTGTAGACCGTTTGCTGGAGTTTGCTAATGGAACGCATTCCCTGCTTGCTCTTATCATGTGTTTTTCCTTCAGCAGTAAACAGGGCACTGCACCACTGCCCATATGGTATAATGTACACATTTAAGCATCTCTTGTACTGCATGAACATGTATAGAAACTGGCATATGCTCGTTGTTTGTTCTGGTGTAGGAGTATAAGCAGTTTGCTTGCCCCTAAGTCGGCAGAAGCAACATGCTGGGCAATGAATACCGAAAATGCCTAACAATCTTGTAGCTGTGTATCACTGTATGTATCGTTGCGTGGGGCATTCCCAAATTACTTGCAACTATTCAATTATCACACAAATAATTTTCTCTTTGTGTATTGACATGGAGAGGGGGTTTTAGTGACAGAGATCTTTACTACATGACACACGCACACACACACACACAGTCATCTGGCCAAGGTGTGTGAGATAGCCAAGGATCTCTGTGAGGAGGTTGAGGAGGTGATTGATGGCTCTGACTCACAGGTCAGCTACAGTACTTTATAGCGTAGCCCTACATGGGCCTGTGTGCATGAGGATACAGGAGAATTGCACGGAGGGTTTGTACTTCAGTATTATTATAGAGTATTGAACTTGCCCCTGCCAAGTATTGGGTGTGGTCTGGTGGATAAGAACCCACAGACTGGATCCTGATGTCAGGGGTTCGATCCCGGTCTGGATCATTATTTATAATGATGTAATGTGAGTACTCGTATAAGAGGAACGTTTTTTCATCATCTCTCGTGGCCAGCCCAAGTGGCTAAGTGGTTAGAGACGTGGGGACTGTCACATAAGGTGCCCGGTTCGAATCCCGGACCCGCACTGAAACTGACAGGTGGTCCAGAGCATTGGCTGGGAACAACTCTGGTTCCTCCCCTTACCCATGAATCTACCACTGAACTGCTTACATCTCAAAGGACAGCGTACAGTTCGGCATAGCACTGCGTCCGTAGACGTCTGTCTGGAGAGATGTTGGGTGGCTTTTTTTTTCAACCTTAGATTTTTAAATTTTTGCCTAAAACAATCCATGGATAAGTTGAATGGTGTATAGCATATTTTTACTGCATGGCCAGTAATGTATGTATAAGAAGCATCTCAACATAACTTTTTCTGATCGTCCTATCTCTATTACCAATTGTTTGGTGTGTATATATAGGGAGGAGTATGTTTATTAAAACCCTTATTAACCTTCACCTACGCAAATGAAAAATGTATTTAGTCACAAAATAGTACCACAAAAGTACCACTCTTCATCAATGAGTTTTATGCCTAATGTTGACTGAAGTGGCAATGGAGGGTGTGCTATCTAGTGTAGCTAGCCTGTGTCAGACTCTCTGTGAACTACTAGCATGGAGACGAGTATACACATACTCTTGGTCCAACCCATCAAATAGCTGTACCGCGCATGCACAGTGCGCCGAGGGTTTGCACTTTAGTGCTTTTCATTATAATGGCTATCAATGCTACTAATTGCTAACTTGAACTTCACTTACATGAGCAATCTATTTGTAAAGCTGCTGCACAAAATGCATATAATATGGCACGTAATATATGTATGCACAATAAACTCGTCCACACACTGTACCTAGCAGTGCTATCATGAACTGAAATGGAGAAGAGTAAGTTTGACAGCGTTCTTTTAATCAGAACACTGCCTGGTCCCAAGGTATTTTGTGTTTGTATACACTGTATTCATGTGTGTACAATGTGATGGTCTTGGGTGGGGATTTTTGAATACATAATCATAGGATACTCCCTCCCTTCACAAGAGGAGGATACATAATCATAGGATACTCCCTTCACAACAGGAGGATATGTACTTTGTTCAGATAATCATAGGGCACTCCCTTCCAAGAATTAGGAAGTGGTCATATAATTGTATATTCATTTGCTTTGTGAGAGCATCAGCAAGTGTGCTAGTGGGTAAGATCGCTCTGCCTAGACTACAGAGTGTCTTGGATTCAAATCCCACCCCAGGGCAGCTATTGAAAAAAAACGGGTGTAGTTTGCTGTGCCTTTGCCTTGTGGCCTCGTTGATGTTTACATGTGTACTCAGTTTGGAGTTGGGGATCTTTGGTGGTTTAAGTACCCCAGTCTGCTCGTACATACATACTGAGTGTGAGTCTGCAAGGCGTGACATCGGCAGCGAGGTGCGCACGATTAATTACTCTGAGGTAACCTGGGGAAGGAAGCTATCAGTGCCAGCGCTTACATTCTGTATAACATAACCAATGCTCCCTCTTAATCAGCTGTATTACTCCCAGGTTGTGCACAGAGGGGAGACACTGGGAGGTCAGGTGGAGCAGTACATCAGGTCAGAGCAGGACACCAATCCAGTGGTCTCTGACAGCATTCTCGCTCAGTTCACGGACAAGGGGGAGCTCCTGCAATTAACCGAGAGACTCGGAGAACTCAAATTTCGTAAGATCCCCTTCTCTGTATCGTAATATTTACGTATTTATGTATGTTAGTGGGTTTAGAAAGGACGAGTGTCAAACCTTTAATGTACCTGTAACTATGCAGCCATATCTACCATGGCTCCAGGAACATACATGAGCTACGTTTTGTAGAACACTGACAGTTACCATGCAGTCTGAACCTATAGAATTCGCCCTGCTACCAACTTATGTACTTGTGTTTCTGACCCCTCCCAATGTCCTGGGTGCATGCTGGATGGCTTTAGTGTATATGCATGCATGTACGTATTAGTTGTGGTGTAATGAATTGGAACTCAGTTTTGTCTGTGCTATTCCATATAACGCTATACGTAACTTGTACCAGATTCTGTGTAGTGTGTTAATATTTTGTTGCACACAAAGTCACAACTGTGCCATTATTATACATTCCATGGACCAGCACACGCCCTGGCTGGCAGGTGCTGGGCCACGTGTGCCCTCAGCCAACTGGTAGTCCATTGTTGAGTGTGTGTGGAGGGTTGGCCTCAAATACTGTTGGCACTAGCACAGCCTTGGGCCTCACTCATCTGCTTTTGTATATATCATCCTGTGTGACAGAATAAGGTAAGGTAACGAGGTAGAAAGGCAAGGCAAAGCAAACAAGTCAACTGCACTCATGTACATGTATGTACAGGTGATTGCTAGTATGAAACTGTGCGTTTGGTGTTCTGTTTACTTCGAGGTCGCTAAAATAATAGGTTGGCATGCTCTCCCTGTGTGTTTTGGAATCGTCCACGTGTGGAAGATGAATATGAGCTACCATGGAGATTTCAGTTGACTGCCAACTGTGTTTCAGAGCCTAGTTAGTCCCACCCTAAAAACAGACCGTAACACCCTTTATGTCATGCATCACTGGGCAGATCAGTTGGATGGTTCAAATGAGACGAGAGTGGGCCATTTTACTAATCATAGAAATTCTGGCAGCTGTCACCGTGCTCGCTGTGTGCAAAGCAATAGGGATGGTTCTATGCACGTACTGTAGTGTAGCCTCTTATTTGATGTCTCAACAACTTGGTAACGAGGTACAAAGGCAAGGCAAGGCAACAAAAAATTCAACTACACCCAGGACAGCTCTTTCTTTTCAACTCTAGAAGAGACTGGTGCATAGCCCTTTTGGCATGTTTTTCATTTGTCATGGCTATCTCAATGCATACATCAAAGTCACGCACAACAAGACGGCCAAAAGGTGATACCAATGGGTTCAGTGCCACACTGGCTTGATTTTACAAATACTGCATTCCAAAGTTATGCCATGGAAACCAAGTGAACAAACCAAAAATATGCAATTTTGGTTGCTGTAGTTGCACTAAGGCATGCATTTTCCACCTCCATTTGAATTTTACCATTTGTGGGGCTAATTGTGCTTTAACATTCCTTCTCAGTATTTTCTCATTACTATCTTCCCCCATCTCTCTCTCCCTATTCCCCCCCCTACCTACCCCACCCTCTACCTCAGCTCCAGGGAGGGTGGAGGGAGTGAGGGTCAAATCCAGAGGTCCCAGTGAGGTGAAGGTGTCCTGGCCCGCCCTATCCTCTCCCTCCATCTCTGCCTACCTTCTTGAGGTCTCATCTGGAGGACAACCATACAGGTCACTGCACTATACACAATCACATGATATAATATTAGCTGTTGAGAGTAATGTAAGTGTGGTAGCGCTGACACAGATACAGCTCTTGAGTGTATATAATGCATCTGATCCTCACTAACAACTGGAAGATGGACCTATATACTAGCAAGCAAAGTGGGCCAACTTAGTCTATATTGCGTTGTTTTCCAGATGTATAATGTAACGAATGGCGACTGACCCTGCGCTATGAAAATGTGACTGCGCGAACATCATGTACAGCAGTTGAAGGTATCTTTGCTCATCCAAATGTGTTGCACTTGTTTTAGTCATGAGCTCTTGATACAGAGAGGAGGTGGACTGACCACCAACCTTGATTTAATATGGAGAATGTAATACTTACGTATTACGCTCTGAGATGTGATGTTCTTCCTTCCCACACTGCCAACCCCCCCCCCCACACAGAGTGGTGTATGAAGGCCCCCAGATTGAATATGATGCTGATGGAGTTGCCACCGAGGAAGATGTCATCTTCTATTTCAGAGTGGCTGCTGTGAATGCCGTGGGCATCGGGCCATACAGTGTCTCAGTCAGCTATACCAAGAAGAAAGCTTGTGAGCCATGCAATGTTTTCTGGCACATCTAGCCGAGCCCACCTAGCAGAGCCCACCTAGCAGAGCCCACCTAGCAGAGCCCACCTAGCAGAGCCCACCTAGCCGAACCCACCTACAGCAGAGCCCACCTAGCCGAGCCCACCTAGCCGAGCCCACCTACCAGAGCCCACATAGCCGAGCCCACCTAGCCGAGCCCACCTAGCCGAGCCCACCTAGCAGAGCCCACCTAGCAGAGCCCACCTAGCAGAGCCCACCTAGCAGAGCCCACCTAGCCGAGCCCACCTAGCAGAGCCCTCCTAGCCGAGCTCACCTAGCAGAGCCCACCTAGCCGAGCCCACCTAGCAGGACCCACCTAGCCGAGCCCACCTAGCAGAGCTGTCTGAATGCAGAATTGGACTGAAACCAGACTTAAAATAAATATTGAAACCTTTTTGCTTGCTCCTAGAGTGTTACAAAAAGTACCGACACTATAGGTGCTGCTGCCTACACCTTGTAAAAGAAGTACTGTCCTAGCTAGGTTTCGTTAGCTTTGCATTTGCTTTGCTTTCGTATGTAGCTTACGTACAATTCATCCAGCAATATGATCACATGCATGCAATGGTAAGTATACCGTAACCTATTTTCATCAAACAAGCAGTCAACCATTGGTTCTGGTACACCCAGGTTTCCTGTGGGACCCTAACAAGCGTCACCCGAAAGCCCACATCAGCAATGGAGGCTACACAGTCAGTATTGGGGAGAACGCCACCTGGGTGAGTGTGGGTACCAACACCGTCCTCTCCCACGGCTGCCACTACTGGGAGGTGATCCTGGAGAAATACGGAGCACCCTCTCTGTCCAGGAAGGCTGTCATTGGTGTCGTCGCTGCCGGGTTCCACCAGTGGCACAGGTAATGTGTGTGCGTGACTCTCATGTGTTTTTGTCCGTGCCAGGATTTGCAGACTTACATTTCTCATGTGTTTTGTATTGTGAACCAGGCGCTCTTGTTACTTTAAGGCTGTATGTGCCATATCGTGCAGTACAGAATGACCCTTAACATAGCATTAGACAGTAATGGTGGATTCTATCACAATTTATGTGTGAGGCATGCCATAGGTTTCATTCTGCAGAAAGCGGTGGCTCTTGTGCTAGTAAAAATATACCCAGCACCTTTTCAATGCTCATATTAACGAAGTTCTACTGCATGATTCCTTATGTGGTTGCAGGTCACACGGAGTCATAGGGATAAAGACGTGTCCCATTGGAAACCGTTCGTGGGGCCTTGCCTGCGGGACCGCAAAGAAACTCGCTCACGGGAGCACCTTCTTCAACTCCCTTGGTCGCAAACACAACCTGTTCAGGGAGGGAGATGCTGTGGGAGTCATGTTGGATCTCTCCCAACACATCATGTCCTTCTACCGCAACGGGAAACCCCTGGGAATCATCTTTGACGATGTGCATGGTCCAGTTGTTCCCGCCGTGTCTTTCTGTCGCCACAAGGCCCTCACTCTCCGGTTCCCCTCCACCCCTCCCACTAGCCCCGCCCCCTCCAGACACTTCTCGAGCCCCAGCCTCTCCCGGCATGTCCCTTCGAGCCCTGCAGCGTCGAGATGTAATGCCGTGGTCCGCCAGACTGCCCGCTCTCTGTCCACTAATGCCATTGAGGTGAAGGGGAGTCTGACAACCCCAGTTGGTGGAGGGACCCTTTGACCTGCTGCGAGGTGGCCCTGCCTTCTCTCACAATAATTATGTACTTTTGTGTTTATGTGTGTAGGTAGCCATGTTTTTGCTACAAAATATTTATGGTCACGTTTTTTAGTATTGTTTTGTCATTGGGAGCGGATCGAACAGCGGGATTGTTCTCATCCTTTGCAAGGCAAAGAAGGCAGTCTCTCAACTATCATTGGCTTGTGAATATCTAAAGAGAGATGAGAGAGATATAATTATGATATATGAGAAATATGTCCAGAGTCTCCATAAACCAATAAGAATTTATGTAGGGCTATAATAATATATGTTAATGTTATACAATTTCTGCTTTTTTAAGGAGATACCCATGGCGTCTTAAGTGTTAATGGTCAACTTATCTCAACCACAAGTGGGTGTCAGGGTATGTTTAGTAGCCACATGCATTTGCCAGTCTGAGAAAAACAGCACGAAGCCGCTTCAAAATGGGTCTTCTACATCTTCAAAGCTGTCGATTCTCCAAAGCATGAAATGCTGGTAAGGTAGGGTTTCTGAGCCACGGGAAAGTTTTTAGCACCATGAGTCCTTGTGCTCATATGGACCCATATTTTAACCAGCCGCCATCTTTCCACTCTTGTATTATATCAAGTTACATTCACACTCTTAGGATCTGATGAAACTGCTGTAGTAAGTTGTGCAAATGATGGTGGCTTCAAGGATGCACAATTTGTTTCACAAGCATGGATGTCATTAGTAATGCTGAAGTAAAAGCAATCTTCTACAATGCCGGATCGTGCAGCTGCCGAAAGTCGGTGCACATATTGTATATACTACCTGGTTAAAATTGCAGTATTCGGTGCATTGTTACATTGATGGCAATATCTATCAAGTATATACATGTTCATGTAAGTGAAATAACAGCATTAAATGCAGTAATAACTCTACAAACAAATCAACATGCTACGAATAATAGGTGTTTTACAGCACTTTACAAGTTTTA